ATATATATATATATATATATTATGGTCCCATTATTATTATTTTTTAATGGATAAAAACTAAAAGAGTGAGAAAGAATAATTCTCAAACAGTATCCTTAGAATACAGGAGAGGTGGTTAAGAAGGGACACACAACTACCGACAATTCTAGCTCCACACGTTGCTTGACTTATTACAATACACAGGAGGCCTTTTTAAAAATATCTGATTAAAAAGAGGTCACTAATTTTTACTGTGAAAGCAAATGTGTGAAAGATCATTTACTTAAATGTCCCACATCACAGTATGGTAAAAAGGAAGGAAACTAAGTAACTCTCTCAGATGGAAATTTCGGTAGGTATCCCTCCCTAAGAAAACATCCAGTCTGATACAGCACACTCTCATTATCAATGCCTAGCTCCCTGCTGACTTCCACTATGAAAGGTGACACTGATCCTCTGGAAAAGATCATTCTAGAGAGTATTTTCCTAAGGCAAAAGACAGAACAAAGCCATACCTCAAAGCTGCAGGTCAATAACCAATGACCGTCCACAGCAAAGACAGGTTTGTTCATTACACTATGGTGAGGCTCACCTCAGATCCCCACCACCACCAAGAATCTTTCTAAAACAGAAGATGACGTGGGTCAACTGAATGGAAGCATGTCCAAAGTCATGTAGTTGAAGGGCGGTTGAGGAGTACTGGCCATCAGCTGGGACCAGCAGAAAGCAGCAGACTTCAGATGAGCCTTACACTCACCAACAGAAACTGGAGTCAGTCCATCACTGAGTTATCTTCCTTAAGAAATTTCTCTTATTTATTTGTCAGAGGGTATATGCACCTGCTAAGGAGAGGATGGCCCCCCGATAGGGCACCATCAAGCTGCGATCCTCCTTCCTCCATTTCTCCATCCTGTCAGGATTTTAGGCATACATGTGCACACTGCCAGTGTGTTTGCACAGGGGTCAGGATTTAAACTGTGATTGGCCAGATGGGATCTGACTACTTAATGCATGGGGCTTAACCACTGCGCTACGAGGCCAGCTCTGTATTACTTTTACATTATATAAAAAATGCATATGAACTGTTGAAAAATTAAGATATACCAGAAAAAAGGGAAAAAAAGATCTGCAACCCACTCCCCAGGTCTTTTTTCTGGGTCCAGCCAGTTTCCCCACAGAGGAATGGACAAGCATTGGCCACAGTTCAGAGGAGGGGGCCTGGAGGGCTCACCATGCACGCTGCGTTATTTTCAGTAGCACAAGGGATTCCGAATCTCAGCTCTAGCTGTTGATCTCAAGGTCTCTCTATGCTTCAGACTTGGGGGATTTCTGGGAGTCTACTTCTTACAAGCTTTGGATTGACCCTCTCATTTCCGACCCACCCATACACCGTGCGTTAAGAGAAGCACAGGTCTGAATTGCTGTGATCTCCAGGGTTCCACAGAAAAGCCTGGCTTTCTTGCTGCCTTCACCCTTGCAAGTTCCGTGAGCCAGGTACTCTATTACCCCCAACCCCCTTTTTACTTTTCAGTTTTCAAAACTTTCCTGTGACTCTTAGGCACTGCATACCATTTCTCCCCATTCTATATTCCTATGACCTCATGCCTTTATATGCCTTTGCTGTCATTCTGTGAGGTCAGAAAGTCTCCAGGCTTAATTTAAGAGATTTTCACCTGTAGAGTTAATTGTTCATATTGAAAGAGTTTGTGCTTGGGGTCCAGCAGTTAGCGTAATGGCTATGTTGCTGGACTCCCATGTAGCTGACCGTGGTTTGAGTCCAGGACCCAGTGGCTTAAACTCACTCTGGGCACGTGTGCGTGCGTGCCAAGATCCCGAGAGGAGAATGAAGGAGAAAAGATTGCGGCATGGCCACCCCCTCCTTGGGGGTTGATTTCTCGCTTTCTATCTCTCTGTCTTTCTGGCGAACGCACACGCCCTATAGCAAAACAAAACAAAACCTCTCCAAAAAAAAAAAGAAAGAGTTTGTGCTCGGATCCCCAGGTTTCTCTGGTGGTTACAGGACTGATGGAGAAGTATCAATGTTTACAAACATTGTAATTGAGGTGCAGACCAGAGAGGTCACTATTTCCCGCCCTACCTCCTACCTGGCATGATCTGGATCTGTGTAGGGCACAGTTCTAACACACTCGCCAACATAGTTGACTGGGAAAGGTAGCAGGAAGTGTGTCTTCATCTGGCAAGGTGTGAAGGTGGGGTCCTGCAGGACAGAGGTGCGGGTCAGACTAGGCTGCACCCAGGTGGCAGCCCACAGGCACCAAGACCTCCGGATACTGTCGCAGTGTTTTCATTTCTTGTGAGTCACTGGCTGGGGCACTAAAGCATCCCAGTTAGGTCATCCTACACAATTTCTTACTTTAAAATCAACACAAAATATCCAAATCTTGATGCAATACTGTAAGATATAATTACTGTTTAATTAAAAACATTTCATTCTGCATCATATACATCATAGACAACGCTCCAGATACATATTAAACTGTTCTACTCCACAAGAGCTCAACCAAAGGCCGTTATTACCAGAGCTCAGTGAAGTAGGAAGGGATGGATTGTGGTATGGACCTGGAGGGGAACTGACAACAGCACTATCAGCTGCATTAGATAAAGGTAAGCTGCCAGGCAGTGAGAACACGGGGGTAGCAAATGCTTCCTAAGCATAGGAAGATCCACCCAAGAAAAGGACCATCACTCTGTGAGACTAGGCTCAAGGGGAGTGTCAACAACATGTGACTGGAACCAAGTGATAGTGTGGTGGTAAGGCAGCTCGATCCCACATGGCTGACTCTGTGGTTTAAGTTCTGGGCCTAGTGGCTTGAAAAACATGCAGCGCATGTGTGCGTGGGTGCTCCGAATCCTGAGAGAATGGAGAAGGGACTGCATAGCATCCACCCAGGGGGGTAGTTTCTCACTTTCCCTCTCTCCCTCTGTCTCTCTCCAGTGCGCGCATGCAAAATCTAAAAAATAAATAAATAAATAAAGTGACTGAATTGAAATCTTAAGGACACGATGAGTCCAGGGACGGCTGGGTCAGAGGAACATTGGGAATCCGAGAACTGTCAGACACTGGCAACAGCCGGTGAAATGTGGTAACTTACAGTGATCAGCTTTCTTATGATCGGGGAACCATTAATGTGTGCATTTCCACCAGAGCCACTTTGTACAGGTTTCTGAAAATAAAAGGTTTCCAAGAAAAATGAAAAAAATCTTAACATGATAAAGATTTTATAAAATTCTTAGAGCTGATAACAAGTGTTAGGGCAGATTTATTTAAGTATTCTAAATAACAAAATTTATTGTTAAACATTTTAAAGAGAAACATTTTTAATAGATGTTCAGATAATCAAAGAAAAGTATCTAACAGCTTTTCTCCTTTTGCATTTTCTAGTTCAAATACTGCATCCAGAATAAGAGCTACGTGAATGAGTTGACAAAGCAGCAGCAGGTACTTCCGCATGGTCTCTGCTCACAGGGGAGGAGTCCCGAGACAGGTGGGAGACAGAGACCAAGCCCCAGGGAGTCAGGATGTGTCAACATCACTGCAGAAGACACAGGAAAGCACTCCTCTGCCAAACCTACACTATCAGCCTTCTCCAGTGAGAAGTTAAGGCTTCTCCACTGACACCAGGGAATTGCACCTAACTTCATAAACTAATCAACCTTGATGATTAATAATTGATACAGCTGCTCTAGAGAAAAACGCAGAAATTAATGAGTCATCATAAAAAGGATTTTTGCCATCTGGCAAAAATGGCCAAAGCCTCACAAACGTAAGACAGACAGACTTCTTCAAACCACTGAATTTGGCTGTTGTTACAAATTACTTTATCCTAAACCAAAATTTGTTTTTCCCTTTTAGGAGATTATTCATGACAAGGCATAAATAACAACAGGCGAGCATAGGAACTAAAGTCAATCTCTCTGCAAGGTTTGAACCCACTTCTCAGCTAGGCCAATGCTGTGAAGCTGCCTAGACTGCTGGTCCTTCGGTTCCTTCATCTATGCAGTGGCGGATATTAATGTGTATACATTAGATGGTTTTGAGAACTAAAAGATTTAACACACGTGAAAAATGAGAACTACTCTTGATACCTGCCAAGTGCTCAACCACCACCAAATAAGTGATCGGTGAGTTACCTCAACCACATGTGGGCGGACAGGTCTCCGCTCCTTTTTACTTCGACCAACATTTCTAATGAAGTTTTCCACCGCCTTTTCTGTCTGAGACATCTGCTGGGGTGTGGCATTCACAGAACACCTGTTTTAAAAGTTGCATATACATAAAACCATTATTTAAAAAAAAAAAAACACTTTTTTACTTATCACATTTTGTATAAATAACACAAAACCAAGAACATACTGTTTTATGAATATTTTTATAAGAAAAATATTCTAATGATGAAGAATAGCAGTAGCCAGATGTTAAAAAAAAAAAAAATCACACTTCTTTTTTTTAGAGAGATTTTTGCTATATATAGGGCATATATGCCAGAGAGACAGAGAGAGAGAAAGCAAGATATCACCCCTGGGATGGGGATGGCCATGCCACAATCCCTTCTCCATTCTCTTCTGGGGATTTCAGATATGTATGCACATGGGCCCAGTGTGAGTTTTAAGTTGCTGAGTCGAGGACTTGAACTGCAGTCGACACGTGGGAGTCCAGCAACATAACCATTATACCATCTGCTGGTCCCAGAAATCACACTTTTATAGAGTGGAGAACCACTGTGCTTTCAGATAATCAAGACTTTCACATCTCTCTGTGTGTTATACTAATACACAGCTATCAAAGCATTCTAACTCTAAATTCTGTGTTCTTCTGAAGGGCAGACAGAATATTAAGCCGTACCAACAATGCCCTCAGACTCAGTTTCAGAAGACTGAGAAGTTTAAAAATTACTATCCAGAAGAGAAATCAACAATTTGTAAATAAGGAACTGGTTGCTAATACAAAATTACAAGGTGCCAAGAAATTATCATGCTTTCCAAAAACATTTTTATATAACTCTTCCAAATTCTATGAAATCCCAACTACTACTATCATATAAAATTTACTTGAACTCTTCAGTATACTGACAGGGTATATATATATTTTTTTCCTTTTGGCCTTAAATCCTATATCTACTTTAGTTAAATGAATAATAGGTACCATTAAATTAATACTACGCATATTCCAGATTCTATGCCAACTGCTTTGCTTGTGTTTATTTTATTCCTTAAAATAAACCAGCAAAACAGGGTTGTATGGAAAAGGAAGCAAAAGCCAGAAGAGGATAAGGTGCCCAGCACTGCCTGGATGTGAGCATGAGTACCAGGCCAGAAGGCGGCCAGCACTGCCTGACACAAAGCCTCGGCGCTGGGTACTCTGCCTCCTGCCCTGTGGACTCCTGGAAGTCTGCCTGTGATTCCTAAGAACTGACTGGGGTCAGTTGCTGGGTCCAGGACTTGAACTGCAGTCGACTACGTGGGAGCCCAGCAACATAACCATTATACCACCTGCCGGTCCCAGAAATCACACTGAGGTCCTCAGGACTATTTTTGGAGAAAAAGTAATTACACCAAACATTTTCCTGTTAAGCGACATGACACTAAATTAGTGTCACTGACAGGAAGATCAACTTAATTTATCTTGATAAACGTTGTCCTCAAATCACCACATTTTATTTTATCAGAAACTACACGTCTATTCTGACCTAGAGCAAGTTAACCTTTACTGGGTCTCACTGATTCCACATTTATGAAACATTTACTTGTGAAAACAATGTAACTTTAAACTTGCCCTGATCTACTTTGTAGTTCTAGGATTAGCTTTGCTTGCTTTGAACATAAACTTACATAATTATAACTTCAAGTGAAAAATACCTAAAAACTACACCTGATGAAATGGAATGAACCGTAAGATCTTCATTTAGAAACAAATCACAAACTCACCTCATGTTATCGCAGTTTAATAAATGTTTCTTAATACGGGGGAACTTTCTCAAGACTGGTCTGATGTCTGTCATCTCTGCAATTCTCTTCATCAACCTCACCTAGAGCAAACGAAAAAAAAAAACACAGAGAGACAAAGACAGCAAGACATCAGACAGCATAAAAACCAAACAGCCTTAATAGCAGATTCCTGCTTGATCAGGGGATGTGGCCCATTTCTGTGCTTGCATATATGTGACTGCTCACTTTGTGGATCTGTGGGGCTAGGGTAGGGGTGCTACGCAGAGGAAAGAGAGTTAAAAAAAAAAAAAAAATTTTGCCCCATGAAATATGGTTAATTAGAAAGTTAGCTTTTCCAAGATGGAAGTAACTTATTACCAGAAAACACTAGTAACTCTGGAAGACACAGCTAAACCACAATCACAGATGTCCCTCCTCAGCATCCCACCTGGTCCATCCCGCTGAAAGTCTCCTGCAAGTCCCCCGCAGGCGTGAGGGTCCTGCTTGCCCGGATGGATGCATAGAGATGCCCAGAGTCTGGAATCCCATTGGAGAGCTCCTGAGCAGTCATCTTAACTAATACTTTGAAGTGCTCCTCTTCTTCAAAACATGGGCTATGGAAAAAGACAATCATAATACATTCCTAGAGACTCATCCATACCCCGGTTCTGATGTCATGGAAAATTTACTAAGTACAAGTTTTCAGACTTTCTCAACATTCTCACACATTTCACAAGTCTATAGGAATTATAAATAAAAATAGTCTAGGAAATCAACCAATGAATGAGTCAAATATTCTACTTTCAGGACATCTCAGATTTAGATTTCTAATGTACCCCAAGAATTAATATCTTTTGCAAATAAAGTTACTTGTTAAATATTTCACTCCATAGATGCATCATGTCTGGTAGGTTTCGATCTAGGCAGAGAGATGAAAAAAGCACACCCTAAATCATAAGAAAAACAAATACAAAAGAAAAAATTAATTATGGCATAATTTAAAAGCAAAAAAAAAAGAAAGAAACTGGAGATACAAACGTCAACCACCACTGTGATCTAGAACTAAAAGGCTACCTGTTCGTATGTGTCCAGATGGGAATCGTCGGGGAGCACATGAGGAGAAACGGTCATGCCTCCTGTTTTGAGCTCTATTTGCTGAGCTTGTTCTCTGTAGTTCAGAATGCCACAGCCTAGCCTGACACACAAAGAAATGTTTAATTACCAAGGCAAACTTTACCGCATCATTTTTGAAACCGTGGATTCCTGAATTGCGAATTGGCTAAATTCAATAACTACTTTACTAAAAAATCTCTTTCTGCACTTCAAGTTATAAAGAATGAATACATTTTACATTAACGTTCTATAGGCTGTTCTCATATTCTTTCCCCAAAATGGAAACCAGCTTCTCTTATGTGAGAAATCTACTTGCACTGTCTGGGTCTCTAGACACTTAGGCAGCCAATGTCTAGCACTAAAAATAAAATTCTAAAATATGCTTTCTGATCCCGAGTTTTTAAATGTTTTTGTTTGTTCAACTATCTGGCAGTCTTGTGGGGGAAAATCTGAAGAATGAGCCTCTTTGAGCTTTTAAGAAAAGCAGAAGTGATTTCATCATGTTTCTGGAAGAACCATTCTCACCGATGTTCCCAGTGCATGAAATAATTTAAGCCTAGGGGACAACTATGAGATGTTCTGCAAACAGCTGCACAAGGACAAGAAGTGGGAGTTGTATTTGGGCAGGTAACTTCCAAAAGGTCAAAGACATCTTCCATATGATCTGATGCTCAGCTCCTCATATTCTGAAATATGCGACATCTTTATCTCCATAAATCAAGACTATGACTGCACATTAGATCTGGCATCTAACCCTAACCAGTCTACTGCAATGGTTCCATTTCCCTCTATTTTCTGGCACAGGAAAGGAAGCCTACAGCTGTGTACTGCTCCCCCTGCCATGTCCAGTCCCGAAGATAGAGCTGAGGAATAGGAACACGCAGCAGCCGTGTGTCCTCTCAGGCTTGTGTTTCTACATCTATTCCTAAACGCTGATTTACAGGGGACGACAGCAGCTGCAAAGTTAGCCCAGGAGAGACGCCAACTAAGGAAGGAGGACCTTGCTCAAGGCAACACCTGGCCTATATTTTACACTGAATTAATTACAGTTTCTAATTGAAACACCATCATTTCTTTTCCAAAATCTTAGTAGACTTTGATCATTGAGATACACACATCTATAAGCATTGCCTTATACTCTAGATTCAGAAATATCTTAATGAAATAATATGAAAGACTAAGAAAATAAAATTTTTCAAGACAACAAATACACTGCACACACTGTAACAATACTGTGAGCTTTGAAACATACAGTGAGTCACTAAAAGATGAAAACAACATAGATACACATACAAAATATGTCAGTGGAATACACAGGATGTGTTAAATTAGGCACATGTGTGTCCACATAGGAGACTCTTACTTGGTCAGGACGCTGCAGAAGAGTGGCACGTAGGGCCGCAGCTCCTCAGGAAGCGTGTTCAAGCTAGAAAAGGCTCGGAAGTACACCATGCCATTGGTGGGCTGGGCACAGTACTGAACAGGGGTTTCTCCAGCTGGAAAGATAAAAAATGATTTCATCTTATCATTATTTCCAATAAAATCTGCATCACTTTTAAAATTTAAGAAATAATGCTATTATTGCTTTTCAAGGATGGAGGTCTAAAACACATTAACAACATAAACAACAAAAAATACAGGTTGAGTATCCCTTTATCCAAAATATTTAGAATCAAAAATATTTAGGATTTCAGATTTTGAAATATTTACATGTATAAAGTGAGTTATTATGGGATGGAACCCAAGGCTAAACACAAAATTTATTTGTTTCATATAGCATATATACTATTTCACATACACATGGCCTAAAGGTAATTTTATATAATATTTGGAATAATTGAGTGCATGAAACAATATATGTGTACATCAAACCATAAAAAAGCAAAGGTGTTAGAACCAGCAGATGGCATAATGGTTACATCACTGGACTCCTATGTAGTTGACTGTAATTTGAGTCCTGGACCCGGTGCCTTAAAACTCATACTGGGCAGGTGTATGTTTGTGCCCAAAATCTCAAGAGAAAGGAGAAGGGATTGTGCTGTGACCATTCCCCCTGGAAGGTAATTTCTTGCTTTCTGTTTCTCTCTGTCTCTCTCTCTCTTTTTTTTTTTTTTTTTGGGGCAGTTTTATCTATAGGGCTGGTGCGCTTCCCAGTCAGACCGGGAGGATAAATCACCCCCAGGAGGGATGGCCACGCCACAATCCCTTCTTCTCCATTCTCCTCTCAGGATCTTGGGCACACACGTACATGCACCCGGCATGAGTTTAAGCCACCAGGTCCGGGACTCAAACTGCAGTCGACTACATGGGAGTCCAGCGACACAGCCATTACACTAACTGCTGGTCCCCTCTCTGTCTCTCTTGAGAGCACGCATGCCTTATAGCAAAAATGTCTCTCTCTAAAAAAGCAAAGGTGTCACTATCTTATCCCTGATGTGGACAATCTGTGGTTGTTTGGCTTTCTCAATATTACAAACTGAATTTATATGCTATCGATAACCAATGATTGTATTATACTAATATACACATAAGTACTTAATAGTATAAAATATGACATGCTATTAAGATCATGAAAGAAATAATGTATTTGGGGTAATTGAGCTCACAGTAGCTTCACCAGAATACTTGTATCAGCTGTTAAACAATAGTAGGCTTTCAGTCTCCACCTACGATGCTGTGTTTCATTAAGAGTGAGACAGAAAGCAAGAAATCACCCCCTGGGGGGAGGATGACCACGCTGCAATCCCTTTTCCTCCATTCTCCTCTTGGGATCTTGGGCACGGACACACATGTGCCCAGCGTGAGTTTCAGCCACTGGGTCCGGGACTCAAACCACAGCCGACTACATGGGAGTCCAATGACATAGCCATTACACCATCTGCTGGTCCCCACATTTGTTTCTTTAGGTGAGAGGAAACATTACAAGAGTACAGGGACCAGGAGCAGGTCCTCTCGGAGCTGAAGAGGCGTTCTGCTGGGGGCTGTTTTAAACGATCCCTCCAGGAGCCAGCAGATGGTGTAGTGGTTACATCACTGGATTCCCGCATGGCCAACAATTCACTTCCTGGACCCACTGGCTTGAAAATCCCAACTGGCATGTGTGTGTGTGTGTGTAAGCCCAAGATCTCAGAAGGAAAATGGAGGAGAAGAGATTGCAGCATGGCCATCCCCCTGGGGTGGTGATTTCTTCCTTTCCCTCTCACTGTCTCTGTCTGATGGGCGCACGTGCCCTATGGCAAAAACCTCTAAGATTCCTCCAGTCTTCTGCCTCATTAACAGTGGCTTTTTTCTTAGAAGTCTCTTTGATTTTATATATTGACATGATAAACACAGAAGCTCTTTTTCTTCTCACTTACCCACCCATGTGTTATCTACAGGCCTTTTTTGACATTTTCAACAGTATCTTCACACCACAGAGAGCAAGCAAAATAACACAGGGAGGGATGCAAGCAATGAAGCATCAACCACACACCGGCTGCTGGTGCACCCCATTCCACACAGGCCATTCATCACCCTTTGTGAGCGGGCCGACCTGGGGCTCTGGGCAGCTGAAGGAGGCACTGAGTAAACCGTGTGCTGTGTGCCTGTGTTCTGACTGTGACCTGTCACATCAAGTCGGGTGTGGAATTTTCTGCTTGTGACATCATGTCTGTGCTGCCTAAAATTTCAGATTTGGGGGCATTTTTAATTTCCAGATTAGGAATGGTCAACCTGCACTATTCAGTTGCTATAGTTTATATAGATTTCCTATTTTCATTATGATAAAAAACTGAACCTTGCTTCGACAGTAATTTCCCGAAGAACTAGAATGGAAGAACTGTCACGTTCTTCTGTTCTTATTAACTAAGTTGGCATTCCAGCGGGGCCTATCCACCTCCGCCCTCACTTACCATTCCTCAAACCCTCCCTTGAGTCGGGGTGGACTCTGACTAGCTTGACCCACACATCAGAACTCACGATTCCTCCAGTCCTAGCAGCTACTTGCCTTCCCAGCAGGTCCTGCGTTTACTGCCGTCTCCAGAAGGCTCCCGGATGCCCACTGTGCAGTCCCTGACAGGACAGCCTGTATGGCCCTCAGTCTCCCGGGACTAGAGGATTCAGGGGTTTCCCCAAGTCCGTCGAGGGAGGGACTGGAGGTTGTATTTTGTATAGCCCAACCTAGCACTGGGCCTCTGCCAGGGGAATGACTAAAGACTGACCGATGATTGATTTCATCTCCACTAATTCTTTCAGTGAACACTTGATGAAATTCACTGATAAAACTGTGAGGGATTAAAGGATGGGGATGTTAGTCTCGATTACTAGAAGGAAAGAATTCACACATACACAAACAGGTCTGAACACTAACTATTCAGATGTGACTATCAGTGTGAGCACTGTGGAAAATAAGGCAGATTGGAGAGGCTTCACAGACAAGTGCTGCTCATCTTCAGTGTCACAGCCTGTTGATGGTGCAGACCAACAAAACCCAGCCATGTCCACCCGTGAGCTCAAAGTCACAGCTTCCAGGGTAAAGTGGCTCTAGAGACTTGTGTCTGCGCTACCAACCAGGGACCAAAGTGAAATTGGACACCTTTGAAAACTTAAAACTGTAACAAACCACAGAGGCAAACAATGGGATAAGATAGGAAAGTAACAGAGCCCGCCACCACTTTCATGCCCCTGTAACTGTCAACTCCTAACTACTAAGGCATTCTTTACTCTTCTAGAGAACAGCTACTTTCCTCTGCTCTAGAGAACAGCTCAGTTAAAAGCTGGTTTGGGCAAAGTTCAGAGGATGACTACATGCTTTCAAAGTTGCATTTAATGTAACACAGCACAACCCAAATCCTGAGTCTAGAATGAGCACATTACAGAGCCATATCAGCTCCACTCACTGGAAAATATACACAGATACCTACTGTCATGGAATGTTGAAATGATATACAAGGAAGGGCCAGCAGATGGCATAGTGGTTACATCGCTGGACTCCCAAATGGCAAACCATGGTTCAAGTCCCAGACAAGTGACTTGAAATCACACAGGCATGTGTGCATATGTGTCCAAGATCTCAGGGAAACAGAGAAGGGATTATGGCATGGCCATCCCCCTGCTCACTTTCTCTGTCTCTCTCTCTCTCTCTCTTCCCCCCGAGAGCACACAAGCCCTAAGGCAAAACCTCTCAAAACAAAATAAAACAAAAACAAACAAACAAAAAAATAATTTACAAGGAAAGATCAAGACTAGAAATTAATATAGATGGTCAAGTGTTTTATGAAGAATGTGTAAAATGTGACTCAACTTCTCTTGTGGAGATGGATCTTTGTTATTTATTTTAATAAAAAGAGGGCATGTGCTCTCAATCGAGGAAGACTCAGAGAGAGTGGAATAAGAAAGCACCTCAGAATGGAAAATGGTCACCCCACAATGCCTTCTCCTCTATTTCTCCCTCCTTTTAGGACTCTGCATAAACACATGCACACAATGCATTTCTCAACCTGCTGCTCTGTCCTCATTCCCCTAAGCAGTTCACATGTAGACATATGCTTCTGATGTAACTTTTGCCATGCTCCCATCCACTACCCTACAAAGTCTAGTTTTAACTCTGGCAGGAAGGATGGATTGAGTCACCAGGCCTTATTGCAGTCAGCCATGTGGGATCCAGCCACCTTAACCACCAGCACATGGAGGCCTGAGGGGATTTTCAATTTAATCAAGGGGTCTGGGCACCCATAAACGTGGATGTCCACACTCACCTGCCAAGGCCACAGCCAACTCCGTATGAGGTATAGTGGGCTCAATGTCCGAGACCTTCAATGCAGGTAGACAAGAGGCATCGTGAGGTTTACTTTGTTGAGACCGTAACTCTAGACCTAAAAAATAAAAAGGAAAATGAATACTCAGAACTACAATATAAAAATCTTATGCAATTTATCTTCTCTGTTATTACTCTCCATCAAGTATACTAACAAATATATATATCTCATGCCAGGTGCTGGGACTACATTAGTACCATTGTTGATAAGGTACCTGCCATTTCCAAAGCTTGCTCCATAATTTCATGCCTTTGACATGAAAAGGCTCCCTTTTTTCCCTTCACTTATTTAGTCTTACCAACAACACTAAGGCTCACCTCTCCTAAAACACTGACACCCCTGTCTCTGTTCCTCCTTTAAATGCATGCACAGATAGCATAAATAGTGCATGGCATTTTTCTCTTTCCTTTCACCAAATCACAAGCTCTCCAGTGGTAGGGACTTTGTCCTGTCAGTGCTTAACACGTTACACACTGCTGCCAATAAATCCGAGAAGTAGAAGTTCTTAATAATTAAATAATTTCCCATTCACTTTTCACCACAGTGTCTTCTCTACTGACTGTACTTTAATGCAGAGATTCCTTGCATTGAAGTCCATACCGTGTTCTTGGTTTGTTTTGTTTTTTTCCACAAGGCATGTGTGCTCACCAGAGAAAAAGAAGAAAGGTGAGAAACACCCCCCTGGGGGGAAAAGGAGAGGGATGGTCATGCCACAATCCTTTCTCCTCTAGGGATTTTGGGCACACACATGACTGGAGTGATCTTTAAGCTTACAAGTCCAGTGTTCGAACTACAGTCAACCATATGGGAGTTTAACTCCTTAACCAGTACACTACCTGTTGACCCCGAAGTACATATCTATAAGACTTATTAAAGTGCTTTCCTAGGTGACTATACCATTTTGTTTTTCCATCAGTGTATGAGAGTTCTACCTGCCTTACATGACTGATAACATTTGTTATTAGCAATATATATGGATAAAAAAAACATTTTAGCTACTAAATTGTGTATAATGGTGTATCACTGTGGTTTTAATTTGCATTTTTCTAAAAATACATTTCCTTGAGAATATAAAGAAATTATTTTCCATATGAATAATAAATTTATGCATTCATTTACCTTTTGTGCATCTTCTTAGATGAATTATCTGCCAAATTCTTTTGCTCATTTTTTAAATGAGTTGTTTTCTCATTATTACTTTTTTAAAAGAATTGTTTATTGGGACCAGCAGTTAGCATAATGGCTATGTCGCTGAACTCCCATGTAGCCAGCCATGGTTCGAGTCCCGGACCTGGTGACTTAAACTCATGCCAGGCACGTGTGTGTGCATGCCCAAGATCCTGAGAGGAGAGTGGAGGAGAAGGTACTATGGCATGGCCGTCTCCCCTGGGAGGTGATTTCTCGCTTTCTATCTCTCTGTCTCTGTCTTTCTGTGAGCGCATGTGCCCTATAGCAAAAACCTCTCCAAAGATAAAAAGAATTGTTTATTTTTATTTGCTATTATTATTTTTTAATTTTACCAGAAAGAAACACAGAGAAAAAGGAAAAGTGAGAAAGCAAATCGCCAGGTCTGGGACTCGAACTGCAGTCCGTCACAACTACCACACCACTTGTTGGCCCCATGTTTTCTTGTTATTAAATTGCTAATGTTTTAACGTATTCTGAACACGTTTTACTTTATAACACATTATCACATTTGTGTCTTGCAAACGTTTCCTCCCAGACCTATACTACCCTTGCTTAAGAATTAATCTGATCCCTCCGTTCGCTCCTGCTGCTACCTCCCCTTCCTAACATGGTGAAATCCACCAGCCTGAACAAGTCTCCTGAGTCAGGTATTTGTGGAGTTCCTACAATTCATCTAAGCTCAGTTACTCATGTCATGCTTAGGCTTCAAACTGCCTTTCAATAAATTTCTCTTCATCCTTCTTTGTCCTCAGAATTACCCTTAGTATTCCCACTGTTACACTGCTCACGACTTCCTCACTCTCTTGATTGAATAAAGGAGGAAGGTATGTTCCTTCACCAGCCTCCTACTCAGGGCCTTCTAAGGCTGGTCTCTGTGTGGTCTGTCTTTGCCCCCCACACGCTCTCTCCTCCATTCTCACTCGTCATCCTCTGGCACAGGGGTGCTCTGCTCAGCTTCCATGCCTTCGCCAACCCTGTCCTACAAAAGTCTTAGCAGTGCTTCATGGCTCACATCACTTATGCCCTCACTGAGACCTGCCTCTTCTGAACACATAGCTGACCATAAAATGAATCTAGCAGGCTCATTTTGTTCATTATATAAATGATAATTATATAACTATGTTAATTATATGTGACTATATCAACACAATGATGTACACATATATAATGCACACACATGTATTAATATATATAGCTATATATTAATACAGGATTATATAACATTGATTATGTATGGTTGCATAACATAAATTTTATTGGTGTACTACAGCAACTGGTAAATAGAAGGTGTAACACTGGTAAAATGAATAAGCCTGGCAGCACTGCTCTCAATTTTCGAGAATATGCTTAACTCTTGCAGTTGGACCCACTGCACTAAGCATGGAACTCTGCAAGTGCCTAGTGCATACTTTTGGTTGATATAACACATGCCCCAATTATTAACTCACTAAAAAGTTCAAGACATCTGGGTGAAGGCTAAGAAATGACTAAGCACAAAGCTAGATTATCTGACCTTTCTCATAGATCTGCTGCTTATCTTCCAAGGACAGAGAGTTGACCTTCTGCTTTAGTTTTTCTGTTTCCATCTGAGCTTGTTTCTCATGATACTTGTCATCTGGTTTCATCGATAAGGTCAGCTTATGCTGATTATTCTGTAACAACCATAGCAAATTAAAACAGGCAAGTTAAAACAGGATTTCATTAAAGCTTATTAACATGTTGAACCAGCCTCTGATGGAATGTCTGTGCTCTGATAGTTCCATTTACCCACTTAAAGAATAATGATAACAGAACTCCACTCAGAGGCTGTTTTGCAGATTAAAGTACAGAAGCCATACACCAACATATAATGTGTGGATATTAAGTGGGTAATTTTCATCTATGCTGCTATTACTGCTATTGGGATTATTACTGTTAAGGCTACTATGCCTATTGATACCATAAATGTATCAGTATTCGGTTATTTTCTTTATACAATGGTTATTAAAGGAAACGACACATTCAAATATTATAATTCTCTGACTCTAGTCTAAATAGAAGATATGAAATTCTAACTTAACTTTCGCCTGCTGTTCACTACACTATTAACACCTGAAAATCTAGAATTAAGTTTCCATTCAATACTTTGTAAATTATTATGACAGATATTGATCTAAAATGTAAAAATAAATATTTTGTAACTTAATGTACTTCTCTTATTCATTTCAATAATTAAAAAAAAAATGTGTGCATTTGAGGTCAGCAGATGGCATAACACTTACAATAACTGGACTCCCACATGACTGACCGTGGTTCAAATACCAGACCCAGTGACTTGAAATTCATGCCAAGCGTGTGGGCATGCATGCCCAAGATTCCAGGAGAATGGAGAAGGGACTGCAGGGTGGCCATTCCCCCTGGGGAGTGATTTCTTACTTTTCCTCTCTCTGTCTCTGTCTCTCTGGTGAGTGCACACACTCGAAGACAAAAACTTCTAACAACAATAAAAACAAGGTGCCCAAAAGTTCACTTGTCATACTACAAAGAAAGGAAGAAAAATTAAGAGTACAACAAAAACTTTAAAGCTTACTGAGCCCGGGACCAGCAGTTAGCGTAATGGCTATGTCGCTGGACTCACACGTAGATGCCCGCGGTCAAAGCCCCGGACCCAGTGGCTTAAACTCACACTGGGCGCGTGTGCATGCGTGCCCAAGATCCGAAGAGGAGAATGGAGGAGAAGGGATTGCGGCGTGACCATCTCCCCTGGGGGATGATTTCTCGCTTTCTGTCTCTCTATCTCTCTCTGTCTGTCTGGTGAGCGCACCACGCACTCTATAGCAAAAACCTCTCCAAAAAAAAAAAAAAACCAAAAAACTTACTGAGCCAGTCCAACAGCCTACTGGTTAAGCATGCCAAATCGTACACGGCTAACTAATGTTTAAATCCTGGCCCCAATGGCTTGAAAATCATGCCAGCCAATATGTACATACCCAAAATCACAACAGGATAGAGAAATGGAAAAGGGATTATGGCATGATCAAGCATTGGGGGATGCTTCTGCCCCTCTCTGGTGATTGCACATGCCCTCTAGGAACTTAAAAAAAGTCTTTAAAATTTAACAATGTAGAAAATTCTCAGGCAAAATGATCAATCATGTTCCATGCCCAAAACAATGGCACAAGTTAACAGAGAGGTACTCTTCAAACAGACAAGTCTTACCCAAGCTGGTAATATCTTTTAAAATGTTATATGACATTAGTGAGTATATAGCAGGAAACCTACAACCAAGCACAAAGGCCTAGTAATCTAGGAAAACAAGCAAAGCAGCAGCAAAAGAATTCAATCATAAAACAATTAAATTAATGTTAAGAATTTAAATTTTTAGTTAGATAGTAAGAAATTATATCACCAACTCATTAACAGAAATTGACTTACATATATCATGTTCCTAATGTTCCTTTTGTTATACATTTTAAGACTATGTACATAGAATTCTCCAATTTTCTTACCTTAAAATACTGTTTTACTTTTTCTTGTAAAAACGTTGGATTTTCCTTAAGACATTGCCTGAATTTAGTCAACTGATTTCCCAACTTCAGGAGTTCCACAGGGTCCCCATCATGATTCCAGCAAGAAGCTATGTACTGGAAAACAGAATGTGAAATCTATAAACATATTATCTCGGTTAACACTGAAGTCATGTTTTACTAAAATTCTAGTTTCAGGACCAGCAGATGGCATAATGGGTATGTCACTGGACTCCCATGTAGTCGACCATGGTTCAAGTTCTGGATTCAGTGGCTTAAAACTCATGCCAGGCACCCATCCATGTGTGCCCAAGATCCCAAGAGGAGAATAAAGGAGAAGAGACTGCAGTGTGGCCATCCCCCTCGGGGATGATTTCTCACTTTCTTTTTTTGTTTCTCTAGTGAGCACATGCACCCTAAAGCAAAAATCCATGAAAAAATTATAAAATCCTTCATTTCTACATTTGAAAATAACACAAATGATTATTCACAATGAAATTAAATCATTCTCTGCTTGGAGGGGAGAAAGACTTATTTTAACCCTTTTTCAGTTAAATGAAACAAAAAGCAAAGGTTTAAATCAATTTATAAACTATAATATTTGTCATTGCCTTACAAGTTATCATAAATCTCTAGTCATTTAAAGTATTCTGTGTAAATCTATTTCACACAAAAACATAAAGGATCAAAAAGCCAATTAAGCTAGTAAAAAGACAAAAAGTATAAAACTAAAATAAATTTGTATCTGATCTGAAATAGTATCCTTTATTAAAGGTTCAAGTAAAAAGTTCTATCAATATCAATCTATACTGTCAGTGCGGTCAAGAACCACTGGTTACTAAAGTAAAGCAAAACAAAACCATGGTGGGTAAAAAAAAACAAAAAAACAAAAAAACAAAAAAAACAATAATAATCACATACTGATGTCAGGGTAAGTCCAAAGCTTGTAGACTGATGCTTCATTTGTATTTCGATTTTATGAAGTAAAGCTTCAATTCGATCATCTTCAAATCCTTTCCTAAAGAATAATGAAAAACTGAGATGTTAAAAGGAAATAAAAGCTTTAGAGATCACAGAAGCAGAGATAACATTTAAACAAAATATGAAATAATCTATGTTTTATTCTATAAACACAGGAGAAAGTTCACTTCCCACCCCGTGAAGCATTTACGAATGAAGAAAATAAGCAAATCCCTAAAAGCAAGCCACTCACTCCGCGACTTCATCAATCGTTTGGTCTACAAGGTTTCTGACAGTCTGAATGTCTTTCTCCGCAATCCCCTGGAGACCAACGCTGAAGTAGGCCTCCCTGGTGTACCCATTATAACTGGAATACAAAACAGAGGTAAGGCACAAGAATCCACACACTCGTATCGTTCACCTGTAATATGCTGTGCTTACAGATGAAAACTAAGAACTGCAAACTGCAGGTCCTCCACTAATAAAGCCCATTAAAATAGTATGCTCAGGTATTCACTTCTCAGATGCAGCTGGTCACAAGTATATTTCTGTCCCTGTGGTATTTCTAAAGATACAATTCAAACTTCTAAGTTTTAACAAAATATATATTTAAAAAATGAACTACTGAGTTTTACAAAAACTTAAGATTTCTTTTTATTTTTGGAGAGGTTTTTGCTATGTGGTATGTGTGCTCGCCAGAAAGACAGAAAGAGACAGAGAGAGAGAGAGAAATCACTCCCCAGTGGGGATGGCCACGCCGCAATCCCTCCTCCTCCATTCTCCTCTTGGGATCTTGGGCACGCACGCACAAGTGCCTGGCATGAGTTTAAGCCACCGGATCTGGGACTCGAACCGCGGTTGACTACATGGGAGTCCAGCGACATAACCATTATGCTAACTGCTGGTCCCCAAAAACTTAAGATTAAAAAGAACACTTATGACTTCAATCTTGAAACAGGTGGCAATTCAATAATCTGAGATCCTAAAAAAGCTATGTTTCTTTGTTTTTATTTTTGATTTGTCTAAGTATCCCTTCAGGGGATATAAGCAGCTTATATGCTATCGTGATCTAATCCAGAGCTCTGTGTTTTGGTGGAGGGAGGCAGTGCCCTATGCCCTATGGGAAGGTAAGGTACACATCTGCCTCCCTCCACACGCCAGTGCACCCTTTGCAGGTATAATTCTCCAAATGCTAGATATTGTTAGTGCTCCGGGAAAGGGAAGAGAGAGGAGTAAAAGTGCCCCCAACTGAGAACTGTTGGTCAAATTGAATAACAAAACTTACCCAACATCAGGAGAGAAGTCTGTGCCAAGTCCAGATTCAATCAGGGCTTTGTAGAAGGGAGAGTTGGGCCCAGAAATCAAGAGTGAAGACAAAAGACTTAAGGTGAAGGCTTCAAAGGTGTCAGTGATACTTCCATGAAAAATTGGTGTAAATGGGAGAAAAGAACAAAAGAGAACATTGTCTTCCTTTATAAATGTTTTTAAATCATTCAAAATATACTAAATCAACATTTTCATCTCCAGACAAGCTGAAGTTCTACTAGAAATTCTTGCATTTCAGTATTTACTTTAATAATTACATTGGTACTTATATACTGGGATTTTTTTGGGGGGGCGGTGTCCCTAACCATAAAATTAATTAAACTGCATATAAAATGCTTATTACATCATAGTTTGCTAATCAACACTATAAAGTAGGCAAAAAAACAAAGGATAATCAAGTACAATGCTTGAGCTGTGCACCTACTAAGTGGCAGACTACATTCTGTCCTAAGATGGTCTTTCCCTTTCAGGGCATGAGGTCTAACCCGGTCTCCATCAAATCTCAGAATTACAAAGTTTTGTTTGTGGTATATTTTTCTGAAACAAGTGTTCACAGTATTCTTCCCATATTCAATGGTATCTGTGACCCCAGAATGTCAAAACTGCTGTCCTAAGACAATCAAATATAATAGGAAGTTAATTACTTTTTGTCTAGACAGTACTACAAATTATTTACCCTCAAAAAACCATTCAGAGATTATTTAAAAAGTTCTCTGGTCCAGCTGTGGTAGTGCATACTGGTAGACACTACCACTTGGTAGGCTAGGACCACATAGGAGTCCTGGGCTCGATTCCTGGTCCACCCTAAAAGCCGAACATGATAGCCAGCTTCTGTAGTCCCAGTTATTCACAGGGCTGAGGCAGCATGGCGACACAACCAGATCTTAGCTAAAAAAAGAAAACAAACAAAAACCTTTCTGACGGTATGTTCTTATTTTTAAATCCTGCTCCACTCCTGATCCCTAACTTTAATTTGTGACTGAGTGTAGAATTCACCTCCTAACCTAACCTGGGTATTTCCTTTTGTCTTTCAGCTAGTGTGAACTTCAGCAAAGTACACTTACTCTGGTAACAGGAAGCTAACACTGACTGTTGTTTGTTTAGCAGGATCTGCAGCAAAGGAATCCGGGCCACATGTTATCTGGAATTCTCTCTGTAAAATGATGTGATGTTTTAAGCAGGCATGGAGTCCAAATGGTTTAAACTACTACAGGTTATCTGGGTAGAAAAAAAGCCCAAGACCTGCTTTCTAACGAGTTGACTTTTTTTTAAACAAATTACCGTCTTTGGGGCTTGACAAGCTCTTACACATACACCATACAGCCCACAACAAGTAAAAATCCTGTTAATAATATACATATCCAGTTACCAAGAATAATAAAAACTGGACACTTACGGGCTTGTCCCAGGGCTTCTGTGCAGGCACTGTGGTATTGGGTTCAATTTTCTGAAATTTACACAGTGCTTCTTCATCAATTTGTCTCAGATGCTTCTCCAATGGAAAATTACCATAGGTGAAGAACCTACAATTTTGAGGGAATATTTTAGTTTAAAAGTATAGAAATCAACAGTGAATTTTTTTTTTTAATAAAATAGAGGATACAGTATATAGCAGCTGATAACAAGACAGTTTCCATGCTGACATGAAGCTTGTAACAACATGCACTTTCTTACATTTAGCTCAACTATAAACATCAATTAGAAGCTGTTAACTTTTGCTACTTTTGTAGGTGATTAAAATAAAAAGTAAAACATACAGAAGAAATTAATTAAATATAAATCCAGCAAAAATTTTATTTGATTTTAAAACCACTATAAAGGCATTACGAAACCCAAACTGGTTATTTATTAATGTACTTTATGACCCTAACCATAATATTAGAATAATCTAAGACTGACAAATAATTATACAAAATTAATTTTGGTCTACAGATTTCAGATTATACAAGTTTTTAAGACATTTGAATCAACCAGTTACAAAGACAGACCTGACCTTTTTATTATAATGCTGTCTGAATTGTGGTGAATATTTGAAAAATTAGTATCTTTTTAAAAAATTTGTCAGAGGAGGGGCTGGTAGGTGGCATGGCAGTTAAAGCACTAGACTCCCACCTAGCTGACCATGGTTTGAGTCTAGGATCTGGTGGCTTGCTTTCTCACTTTCTGTCTCTCTTTGTCTGTCTCTGAGCAAACAAACAAACCAAATAATAATAAATAAAAATTAAATAATTCTTTAGGGAAAAAAATTTGTCAGAGGGCGCATGTGCTCACCAGACAGAAAGAGGGGGACAAGAAAGCACGCCAAATGGAGTGTAGTCAGGCCACAATCCCTTCTCTTCATTTCTCCATCATATTGGGATTTAGGGCATGAAAACACACACACCCAGTGTACTTTTTAAGTTACAGGCACAGGATTTGAACTACAAGGTCAGCCATGTGGGAACTGGGTTCCTTAACCACTAGGTCACAGGTTAGCCTGAGAATTCATATCTTAAAATATCCTTCAAAATTTTGTATACTGAGTAGGGCTGGGCAGTAGTGTACTGATGGAAATGCAAAGCCCTGTGAGGTTACCCACATGGAAAGGTTCTAGGATACAAATCAGACCTCCCGGTTAGGCCAGGCACACATATGACCATGATCTGGGGCTGGCCAAGGCTGGAGGTAATCATGGAATTAGGACCCTGTTGGGGCAGCTCTTTCTCTCTAGCTCATCAAAGAAATAAAAATTCAAAAAAAGTTTTTTTTTAATACAGAGTGGTCAAATAATCCAGTAGCAATAAGCATCCTAATGTCCAGATTCTGGTGTCTAAATGCCCTTCCGCACACAGTCATAGAACCCCATGAAGAAATAACAAACTTAAGACCTAGAGGAGGAAGAACCAGAGTGTAGGCATTTTTTCCAGGATGAAGGGATGGTCAGGAGGACACAACTGGAAACTAAGTAAATCTTAAGCTGTCTGAAAGAACTCCACAGGCCGCATTGAGACAAATGGAGCATTAAAAATTAATAATGGCACTAAAGAACAAAATGACAGACAGCTAAAAAAAAGGAAGGAAGGAAAGAACCTCCTTTGTCATCACTGGCAGTAGCTACTGCCACCTCTCCCCTAAAACCAAACATCCCAGGGAAAG